TAACATCTGGAAGAGGCTCTAGAGACCATCTAAGGAAATTTTTAGCATTAATGATGCTTGTGATTATTTTAGTTGGTATATGGTTTAGTATATTTCATTTGCAAGAACTAATATTTTATTTATTTGAGTATGTATGCATATAATTAAGACAGGAAAGGAATACATCAGTGATTGAGGTTAATAAAATTCTAATATTTACCTGATGAACTAAATCTAGTCATTGGCTTCTTATTAAACATTTCAAGTGTCAACAAACTCACTGTTTCATAATGCATTCTAATGTTTGGGGTGTTTCTTCTTTATAATGCTCTACTAGTATTTTCAAGTAAATAAATAGATTGATGAGAAGGTAAAGTAGAATAGGATGAAAGCAATGCTGTAAACAAACATATTCTCTCTTGTATCTGACAGTTGTTGAAACACACAATGCCAGCTAATGTCCTGACTATGTGTCTCCAGGTCCTTTGGTGCTTTTCCTGAATTGTAGTGTAGAGTTTCCCACTCTCTATGTGAGACAGATTCAGTTAAACCAGGTGTGATCTGAGCAGTATAAAACAGGAATTACTGTTTCTCCATTTTGTACACGAACTTCCAGTAATGCAGCCTAAGATGGATTAAGTATTTGGCAGGCACATCCCCATGTTGACTCATGCTGCACTTACCCTCAACTAAAACCATCAGGCAAGTTTTTCATATATTTGGTATTAAGTCAAACCTTCCACATCCTGTGTTTGTACAGCTCATTTCTGGGCCCAAATGTAAGATTTTACATGTATTCCTATTAACTTCTTTCTGTTTGATTCTCTCCATTCTTCCAGATGCCTCTGTCATCATATATGCTGTCAACCTCTTCAATGTCTTGGCATTTGTAGCTGATCAGCAGGCCACCATCACTAATGGCAGTACTCAGCAGGCCAGCATTAAAATAAATGTTCAAGAAAACTATTCTTGCATGCTTATGTAGATGGAATATTCATTTGGCAATATTCAGGCACAATTTCTCATACAACTAATAAACCTTTTACAGTCATGTCATTTGGCAAACTGAGTATTTCTCTACATTATCCATAGGATACTATGAGATGATACAACTTCTGACATCGAGGAAATTCCCCTTATTCTGTGGATTCTTGAGGTTATAAAGGCTCTCAACCCTGCACTATTGACATTTGGATTAGATAATTCACTCTTGCGGAGGTTGGAAGTCGTGCGCATCATAGGGTGTTTAGGGATCTCTACCCACTAAAAGGCAGTTAAAAACTCCTTCTCCCCCATCTTTTTGCAGTAAGAGAGTCAGAAATGTCTCTACACATACCAGACTTCCTTGGGTGTGCAAAGTGGCCTCTTCCCACTGAGAATCAGCATTCAAGACTCTATGTTTCTATAAACTAATTATTTTATGTTTTTTGTTAACATTTTTATGGTAGAGTTGTAGGTAAAGTGTTCACACACAACAATCACTCCTATATCAGGAATTAGATATGCATCTAATTTATAAACAGGTATGAATAATAATATAAACAGCATGATAGATAAATGGAAGGGGAATAATATAATCCTGATGTTCACAAGGATAGAATAAGAGGAATTGCATGAGAATTATGTGATTTGAGGCAATCTATAAGGACTTTGTAGATGCTCATCATAGTACTATCCAGAATAGTAAAAAGTATGTAGGCAGAGTAATTGTTTGACAGTAGAAGATAAATAACTTACTATGCTAATCACACAGAATACTCAGCAGTGATCAAAACGACATGTTTGAAAAACATAAATGGCATGGGAAAGTATTTGCAATATCACGATGTGAAAATATAACTATGTTATCTAAGCAGCAGTGATAGCAAGTTTCCAAAGGTGAAACAGGTATAGAAAATATAAAACTATTAAAATGGCTATGGGATCGTCATATAATTATGTATAATTTTAATTATATTTATATTTTTATGCTTCCAAAATGTTCTTCCTGAGCTTTTGAGTTTTTTCCACCCCTGTGGTATGGGGTATTAATTCTAGAGCACTGTTTCTCAACATGTGGATCATGACCTCCTGAGGGGGGTTGTCAAATAATTCTCTCACATAAGACCATCAGAAAACCCAGAGATTCACATTATGATTCATAACAGTAGCAAAATTACAGTTACGAAGTAACAACAAAAATAATCCTATGGTTGGGATTACCAGGAAGGTTGAGAACCACTGCTCTAGAGAACATGACTCAAACTGGTCCAGGTACACTGAGAAAGACTTCACAGGTTCATGGAAGAGCACATTAGGTAGGCAGGATGCTTCGGAGAGGCACACGATGGAAAGCGATAGTATTTGTAGACTGGGTCACTCAGTCTTCTTAGGGAAAAATTGTATGTATCACTATTCATTAAATAAGAAAGTCTGATATCCTAGCTGCATCCTTTTCCTCCAAGCCAATGTTCCATGGTTTTGGGAAAGCTAAAGAGTCACTTCAGATGTATCTATTAAATAAACAATGATTCCTGGACTGCAACCCCCAAGATTTGGATTCTTCAGTGTTGGGTGGAGTTCAGGGATCTTCGCTTTTAGCAAGCTCCTCTAGTGATTCAGTCGGACACAAGTCATTCACAGACAATGTTTGATGATTGGGTTTGAATTCTTTTTTTTCTACCTCCATTTTTGGTAATTTCTTCTTGGTTGTTGCAACAAAGGAAGTTGATTTAGATTTTCATTGGTGTGTTGGTAAACTGGCTTCTCAAAAAAAAAACTTTAAAAGTATTTTTTTATATCTGTGTACCCATTTCAAAGAGCGAATAGCCAAAACAGCTCATAAAATTCTTGAAAGTTTAAAAACTGGTCCCGATAAACTGTTATTGCAAGTGCTATACAGTGTGTACTTTTTAAAAGTGCTTTAAATAGTTAGAAAATGGTTAATGGAAAACTGTTGCACCCTTGAGAACTATGACAGAAGTAGTAAGCAATAAGAATACTTGACTCATTTTAAAGAAGCAATTTTTGATTATATTAAAAAGAACAATAAAAGCCTTTATCATTATTTTCTATTTTCATTTTCACTCCATGGCAACACTCCATGAAGAATAATACACTTGCTGAGATCTGTGGGAGCTGTAAATTGGTTTCCTATGGATGATGGACAGCCAAGGAACAGTACTCCACATGTACAGTCTCCACCTCCGCCCTCCTGGGTCCTCATGGTTCTTAATCGCTGAGTGTTGAAATGCCTTGGCCATTAATTCTATAGCACCCAACCTCACAATCAGGTCCTTCAACTTCTTCCTCAGTACCTGATTGAGATAATGTTGTCTGTAGGAAACCCATGTTGGCTCTGTTTTGTGTGTTCATGTATGGGAGGTTGCTTAAATGCAAGCTAATGGTACAGTTCTTTTAATATTTTCACTAGACATATTTTAGAAATATTGGTCCTGAAGCCTATGTAGTCAGCTGAGGCAAATTTACAGCTTTGCTTTTTAAGAACAAAACTACCTCAGGCACCTGCTTCCTAAAGGCAAAACTGGAGAGGAAATGAACTCTTGCTTAAAGACAGCTCACCTTATTTTATAAGTTATCACTTTTCTAGCTGGAGCACAGTCTACCCACTACTGGGAGATTTTACCCCCATCTCAAGCAAGCACTGAACTGCAAAAAATGTCCAGTCTGCATTCTAGCAAACAGCTCAGATTCCCAAAGATGAGGCACAGGACACAGCCTCAATAAATGAAGTCAGGGGAGCAGCAAAGATCTATGATGTAGCCTCTCAGTGCAGATGTCTCTGCTAGAGCATGCATGAATGTCTGTCCCTGAATTACATTTATGTTCCAGGATTACTGAATCCTGGACTATGTTTGGGAGTGCCTTTCTTGTCTTTAGGGTAACTCTTTCAGGTGCATAGTCAACAACAATGTAGAGTACTTGATTTCCTTTTAACTGCTCTGGTGACCCTGGAACCAGAGCTTATCAACTTCTCAAAAATGAGAAAGAACTAAATAGCTTCTCCCCCACCCCCTTATTGGCAAAGTCAGTCTTCTCAATGGGAACTGAGTGCACTGTGGGACTAAAGGTTAACAGGAGACACTTCAGGCTACTGTGTGCTAGAAAATAGTGAATAGATGTGGTTCACTTAGTATTGCGCTGCAGTGATAAAATATAAGAATGGACTCTTACAAATCATAAGGATAGACTTAGCTAATGAGCAAGTGGAAAACTGGATACACTGGACTTCCCCTGAGAAATCACAGACAAATACATATGATTAGATCCAGCTCTGCCTCATCTCAGTCTTTCTCTGAGCTTTCTTTTGTTAGGAAGGCAAAGAATTTGCAGGAGCTATATGAATATTCAATTGCATGTTTTAAAGTCAGATATTTACGCATCCACTTGGGAGAAGTGCCAGAGTTAACATTAAAGATGTGTGAAGGACCTCTTGTCCAAATGGAACACGATGTTCCTCAAATATGAGAATTCGGCCCTCACAAACTGCCATTACCGCTGAATATGAAACCAGCTCTTTAACAGATGGACAGCATACTTTTCAGATTGCTGATAGCCTAATAAAAGACAGTAGCTTTTGAAAAATGGAGGACAGGAGGACATGTACTTCTCAAATTACATGACCCAAATGGAGTTAGCAGAATATAATTAAGAAAGGCATACAGCAGGCTGTCAAAAATGAGGAACAGACTAGGAGAACTTGAGAGTTCTAAACATCAGTATCAAAATGACCTTTGGATTAGCAGGAAAAAAAGCATTCTTTAAGCCATGGGGAATATGCACTGACAGAGTCAGAACTGGGTATAGCATAGTATGGACTATAGGTTACCGATAAAAGGAAAACACAACTGTGATTTCTTCTAATAAATACGATAAACATTTGCTGGGAAGGTGGGGGGGTCACTTTTTCAGGAAGGTGCAGCCACACACCATGCTTCTTAAAGTAAAACCACTTCTTTTGGGAGACTGACTTAAGCACAGGTTCTGTGGTTCACCAAGGGAGGGTTTTGATATCTGCTCACCTTTCTCTTTCCCCTTTCATTTTCTCCAGCTCTTCTTCTCCCAGGTTCCCGGGCCTCTGGGTACTTTTCTGCTCCATCTTCCCACCCTTGTCATCTTTCTTCTTTCCAAATCTGGAGGGGAAGAACAAAGTTCATTATGCACGCTTTGTCTTTGGCAAATGTTAGATATGTGTTACCTGAGCACATTCAACTATGACTCTTTATTCTAAATAGCACAAGAACAGTAGCATGAAACCAAAGAAGTAAAATAAGATTACAAAAGCAGGAAAATAACACAGTTGCTCCATTTTTCTCTTTTTCTGTCCCCTCTTTCCTTCTTTTCATTCACATATTGTGTACCAGGCACAGCGCTATGTCATTAAAGGTGAATAATTCTAACTATTAATTCAATGAAGATTAAAACACAGAATGATTACCATTCATTTGTAACTAAACACTGAACAATTTTCTAATGAGACCCTACAAAACTTCAGTTTATTGCCATTTTAAGGTAAGATACATGAGATTATGTAATTACAGGCAACAAGGGATCTTACTGAATACTCAGTTAAATACTCTCCTTTTATCAGGGAAGACTCAAAAGCTCTGGAGGAAATGGGGGAGTGTTCTGATCACTGATACAAACTTCCCACTAGTTCTGTCAAGGCCTGGGATTAGAACTAGTCCACAATGTATGCTATTGTTTTTCTCCCAGGTCAAAGTCACTCTATGATATAGCCCCCTTATGTGAATATATGCTTCTCTTATTGGTTGATGAGTAAAGCTGTTTCGGCCAATGGACAGGCAGGATGTAGCCAGGCAGGAAATATAGGCAGAACTCCTGGACTAGGAGAAAGCAGGGAAGAGAAATGCAGAGAGTAATTTGGAAGGGAGATGCCATGTAGCTTCTGAGGAAGCCAGAGGTCTGGGCATCACTGGTAAGCCAAGACCATGTGGAGTTACAAAAATTAGTAGAAATGGGTTAATAATTAAGAAAGAGCTAGCCAAATAAGAAGCCTCAGCCACGGGCCAAAAAGTTTATAATTAATATGAGCCTCTGTGTATTTATTTGGAACTGAAGGGCGGTGGAACTGGGTTGAACAGAAACTTTCATCCACAAACCGTCCACAGCCCCAAGTCCTCAAGTTGTGCTAGGTTAATGTGATTAGCATATCTGTCACATTTGCAGCTATATGCACATAGCAGCAACTGTGGTACATTACAAGGACAGATTTCCTCAGCATGTGTAAGAAAATGAAACCTGGACATAGGAAATGGAAGAAGGCTGTGGCTGAACGATAACTAGGATCTGTCTTTAGTGTGACAGTTAACATAAATGAAATGATCAAAGGAAAGTCTCCCACGGGTGCATATTCTTCAGTGTAGGCAGATTATTCTGAAATCTTTTTACCTTTAAATATCTATTCTTTTTTTATTAAATAGCATTTTTTCTTTGTCTTTTTTTTTTTTTTTGAGACAGGGTTGCTCTGTAGCTTTGAAGCCTGTACTGGAACTTTCTCTGTAGATCAGGCTGGCATCAAACTCACAGAGATTTGCCTGTCTCTGCCTTCTGAGTGCTGGGATTAAAGGCATGAGCCACCAATGCCTGGCAAATAGTAAATTTTAACTATTTGTTAGCTATAATATATTATCTGTCTGTTTTTCCATCTGTCCATCCATTCATCTATTCACCCATCCATCCATCCATCCATCCATCCATCCATCCATCCATCTATCTATCTTCAAGCTGGGAGTTCTTAAAAATTAGCTGTGCTTAAGCTAACTCTCCTCCCTTTCCATGGTAACAGAAATCAAAATCACTTTATGTAAAGATAATGACATAAAAATTGAAGATGGTCTTATATTCTCCCCAACTAGAATCACAATTTTTTTAAGTCACAAAATAAACTCTTGTTTATGTTTGCTTTGGAATTCCTCTTTGGGTTGTGTTTCAGTCAAGGAAGAGGTTGCTAACAAATGATAACTCTAAGCATCTTACCCAGGAGGCTCCTGCCTCAGATAAGCTTGCTATTATCATGGAGCAGACTGCAGAAATACCTCCTAGTCTTAACTCTCCTTCCTACTTTTCAACTTATAATTTCAGCTAACAAGGCTTTTCTCACAAACTCCCCTCATTCGCCTGTATCTACTATTATAATTTTTTGCTATGTTCAGTCTTTCCTGGGACATTGGTCAACTATTAGCCTTAGGTCTTATGTATGTACATACATACATACATACATACATACATACATACATACACACACACACACGTACATATACACACATATAATACTTTAAATTTTATAAAAAATACTTTGATCATATTCACTTCCAACTCATCCCTCTAACACCTTCAAGCTCCCCTACCTACCTATTGCTTAGCTTCATGATTTATTTATTTTTTATAACTCATTGATACTAATTTGTGTTGTTCAAACACTCTTAGGTGTATGGCCATCCTGGTCAACAAGCCAGGAGCCACAATCTTAAAGAAAACTTTCTCTCCCCTAGAAGCCATCAACTGTCCATAGGTTCAGGTCCTCAGTTAGGAGCAGGGCTCCTTTTCCCTTCATACTAGAATAGCAATTGTCTTAATCTTATTTAGACAGCCACAACTGCTGTGAGTTCATGAGCTCAGTGGTCCTGTCATAACCAGAAGATGCTGTCTCACTCCAGCCCTCCCCAACCTGTGGTTCTTACAGTCTTCAGCCCCCTCTTTCACAATGTTCCTTGAATCATTTGCGGCTCAGCACTCCACTGACCTACTCTCCATACATCCCTCCTCCTCCTTTCCTCTCTGCCTCCACTTCGGAATCAATTCCTGTTCTTCGCTGAAGATATGACCTGCTATCACATCTAGAAGCAGCTAGGAAACCAAGGAAAAAAGGCCAAAAACATAAAAACATCAACTTTCAAATATAATTCAGATTTGCTGATATATTCAAGACCTCACTATAACCTACAGAGCAGGAGATATCAAAATAGGATTTCCAAGAATAGATTTCATAGCTTTCTAGGCTGTACTCAGAAGGGATCATTCATATTCTAAATATATTCACAGAAGTTAGCACCTTCGTATATCACTTAGATAAAGAATTCTTTTCCCAAGGTGCCATTGAATATAATAATATTTGGGTAGAAAATTCAAAACAATAGAGAGGCAGGATAGATATGGTGCCTTGGAAATTTGATGTGAGCAGAGTTGTGCCAAAACTATAAGCTTGCTCCCTTCTACCCATGCCCTGCATTTTATTAAAAATTTGGAGATTTTAGATTTTTCTGAGATAAAAGCAGCCTTGTGTTTGAAGGGTAAAAGTAACCTAGTCCATGTTTACCTTCATGGTTCTCACCACACTCCAGGCATAGTTTTCCTTTGGTATCTAAACTATTTCACTAAAGCAACAGTTCAAAAGTAGCTTGCATGGCTCCCACCACAACAAATATATTTGACTGTTAGTTTTAACTTCTGCAAAGTGTTTTCTTTTTATCAAAAACTGCTATCAAACCAGCCAGTTCCACAACTATTACAAATATTTCATTTGACATCCAATAAGAAAGGCAGAAATAGCTACAAAAATTCTTGTACTAGAGTGAAGATAACAGATCACATTGTTTCATAGAGTCTGGGGTGGTTTGGGAACAAAATTGGGATAGAATGATCATAAAAAGGGCTCCACCTTGTTAAAGCAAAGAAAAGCCAACCCCATATAAGTGAGCTGTATTTTATCTGTGATCACACTGATATTTTTTTCCAGCTTTGCAGTCAGATGACTTTGTCTTCAGTGACAGAGGGAACAGCAGGTTTTGAGCGGCGAGGAGGAAAGCATCAATTTGCTACTTCCCTTCCATAACATCCCTCTGGGAGGTTATTTCACAGCATCCCTGCTTACCCAAGACACAGAAAGGAGAGTTTGGGATACTCATCTTCCCATTAACTATTTTTGTGAGAAAAATCCTGAGGCCCATAGCTAGCCATGATCACTGCTTTGTATGCTAAAGGATCAAGACAGTCCTAGCATTCCTGGTTCCTCTATTTGTTGCCTTAGAAATGTGAGAGTTGGTGAATCTGGGCTTGGTGCCTTAAGGAAATTGCTTATAGCTTAGCCTCGCTTTATGTAAAAGATACTTTGCTGAGAAATTCTGAGCACACATATGGTTTCAATCAATAACATTTTATTTTACATGTGCCTAGGTAGTCTGTTTAAAGACTCCCATGATGGATCTTTTTGTAAAGGGGAAAAATCACCTTTCAACATATTCTTTGTGCAAATTTACATTTTCATGAATAAGTTTGCTTCAAACACCTGACCTTTTCCATTTCTATAGAGGTTACATTGAACAGCTTTGTGAGAAACTTCTGTCCCTCCCTTTCTTCCTTTCTCCTTCCCCCTCCTCCTTTCTCTTTTTCTTCCTTCTACCTTTTCTACTTCCTTTATTTCATGTATCCCTTTAAGAAGTATTTACTAGGGACCTACTGTGTGTCAGACATTGTAAACATTTGATACAGGTTCATATCAGGGTGAGAAACAGAACTATCAACTAACCACCCGGAGCTTACATTCTCAGAGAGAAGACAGCCATCAGCTAGCATAACTGGATAACTGCAAGTTGTGAAAGGTGTTCAGAAAGACGTTAGAAGAGATGATGATAGGCACTCGATCAACTAGACAATGTCTAGGTGCAGAAATGCTGTTTATATGAGAATGGACAAAGAAAATGACCCCCAAAGGAAGTGGCACTATTAGGAGGTGTGGCCTTGTTGGAGTAGGTGTGATCTTGTTGGAGGAAGTGTGTCACAGTGGAGGCGGGTTTTGAGGTCTCATATATGTTCAAGTCATGCACCATGTCTTAGATTACTTCCTGTTGTCTGCAAGTCAAGATGTAAGAACTCTCAGCAAATCTAGCATCATATCTGCCAGCATGTTGCTTTCCAGTCAGTAAAATAGGTGGCTGAAGCTGAAACCTACTTTCGTGAGACTTGGGTAGTAAAGCAAGGATTGAAGATCTGAGAGGAACCTGGAGTGGAGTATTGGATCCAGGGGAGGGCATTCACTGCAACAAGGGGCACAGACACTAGTGAGAAATATGGTGGATTGAAAGAAGTGTTGGAGGGGAAACAGGAGTAACCA